TGTGTGTGTGTGTGTTGATGACTGCCTTGCTCTGCTGGATCTTTCTTCATGGCGATATCTCCCTTGCCCCTGCTTTTTCATCCACGTTGGGCTCTCTTCTTTGGATGACTGACTAAAAAGCTGCACGGCAGCATCTCCTTAGTCGTGCGTTCTTTTGTCAATGTCATGCCGGAGCCACATCTGTGCCTCCCTGAGTTTCCTTATTGCCGTCATCATTTTCTGTACCTTCCCTGTGCCTCTCCATGCCTCTCCATGAGGTTCCCCTCTCTGTCTGCAGCAGGCACTTTTTTTTTTTTTTCTTTTTGTTTCCCTTCGCTGTTTCCAGGCCTATAAATAGGTCATGTCTGGTTGTGAAAAGTTATTTAACTAAAAACAGTAAAACAGCGTCTCACTTCATTTCTCTCTCCCCCCCCCCACAAAAAAAAAAAAAAACAGGTCCTTATGGGCCATCTCACATTTTCTTTCTTTTCTTCTGTGAAATTGTTGAGTGAATTTGTAGGTGTGAAATACCTGTCAGCTATGCGCAAAGGTGATGTGATCCATTTCCAGTGGATCCTGGACTGCAGAGACGAGAAGGCACTTTTGCCAATCCGGCCAAGGTAAGAGGAAAACAGTCTCGTCAACCAGTAGGATACATTGGAGTCGGGAGTCTGGACCTAAATTTGCTCCGCAGAATGTTGCGGACGCATTATGGTGCGAGGACTATAGGGTCAGGTTGTTTCATGACATATCAGTGGAGGCGGGCTACTTCGATATATGCACGCCATGAAAAGAAATGAAAGAAGGTTCCCACACAAAGGCACTAGCACAAGCAGAATGAGTTGAAAAGCTAGGAAGATTTTCACGACCGTTCGGTCACCCGGGTGTGACGACCGGGATACCCGGGCATGCAAAAAAAAAAAAATAAAAAAAATTGGCGGTGGGGTTTTTCTGCACTCTCCCAGAGGAGCCCAAATCCGGGCCCTTTTCTTTTTTTGAGTGTTGGGCCCTGTTTGGCTGTCAAGGGGGAGGAAGGGGAGTATAAATGAATTTTAAAGGGGCTGAAGGGGTTTAAACTTTAAAGGGGGGTGCCTTAGTGTGATTTGGTTATTTTCTTTTTTATATTCATTTCCGTGAGGAATTCTGATGTGACCCTCAGCCAAAAGTTGTTTGTAAACTTTGCATTGCAATTCTACACAACATTTTTTTTTTAATTTTTTCCAGTTTTTTTTTTTTTTTTTTTTTTTTTTTTTGCGCTGGGGCTGCCCGGCCCATGCCCGGGGTTTATGCCTGGCTGGTCACCCGGTCGCCAAACCGGGCATGACGTCGGGACCCAGGCACCCGGGATATCTCCCTAGTTGAAAAGTCTACTGTTTGAAAAATAGCTAAAGAAGCCATAATACGAAGAGCTAATCCAAAATCACCTATACTCGATTCACAAGCATGTTCCAGGAAGTCAGACTTCAAAAATGATGTGCAAAGTCCAGCCCTGACTTGGTCAACGGGCAGTCGGTCAGTGATGAAGGAGGGAGGAGAGAGGAGGGAGGAAGGAAAGGGCGAAAGAGGGAGGAAGCGTAGTCTCATCGTTTTTTTTGCCTTATTTGTTGTTTTCTTTCTGGGAAGCATGGCCTCATGGCCATGCTTTTGAACTCTTGATTCTACTGTCTCAATTCTCCCTAAAACCTAAACCCGTGCCTTACTGTGCCCTTGGTTGCCTCTTTGATGTGTGGTCGTTGCCGTTGCTTCTGTGTGGGCCGCTGTGGGCCCCTTTTGGTGGCACTGCTTTTTGCATTGCCCGAATCGCCTCCGCAAGAATGGTGTGGCCCTGCTCCGCCTACCGTCCAGCCTCGTCCTCTTTATCAATGCTGCCGGAGGGGTCATCACCTGTGGCATACTGCATAGCCACACGGGCCCTGCAGGGCCCGTCCCGGACATTCAGGCTAAAAGCCTAAAACTTAGGGCTTAAAGGCCCCGGTCGTTTCAGCCTGAAAGCTGAAAAACGAGGGCCTGCAGGCCCTACGCCGTTTCAGCCTATTTCTGGGTCTTTCAGACCCAGAGTTTTTCCAGCCTGAAACGGAGGGCCATTTTCAGGCCCTCATTGTTTCGACCTGCCCCTAAGACTCAGGCACGTAAACAGGGATGCGGAACAGGCCAGAAATAGCCTGTTCCTCACGAGCTCGACCAGGAGCTGCAGCTGCAGCCCCTGCSTCCTTTMGGCATTGGCAAGAGCAGCCTCCTGAACTGCTCGCACGGCTCAGGAGGCACACCYGGTAGTACATAGGAGGTTCCCATGCACTTCACGGGTAGGTAGTTGTCAGTAGGCACGAGTAGTCTTCAGGATTCGGCCGCAGCACTCAGGAGGAGCGCT